GGCATAAGCACAGTGCCAACACCATCTCCATGACTGAGAATGTTCAGCATTCTCAATTATGGAAACAGAGCTTATGCCCACAGTGTAGCGATTGCATGTAGGCTGGCCTCAGGCCAATATGCCTGTTTTCACTTCTCCTTTACATGTTTTGCGGTCAGCTATATGTGCTGTCTGACAAAGGCTACTATAGCAATGCACAGAATGAATTCTATAGGCATATCTACAATGGCATTCTATACAAGGTAAGTGGAGCTAGTTCATGGACAATAGGTCCATCAACAGCTATTAATCACAACTACGAGGAGGTAATGCACCTCTGAATAGCAGTTGTTGTGGGGCAACAATAATTGTTACCAGGTGATTAGGGGGGAAAGGAAAATAGTTTTTTTTAAATTGTTGATAAGAGTGGCTCCATATGCTGGCACATTAAAATGATGTTTATTTGTATGCAGGCAGACAGGAGAACATTTTCTTTGTTGCATCTTAATCAAAGCTGACTCTGGGAGAAGCTGTTTAACTAAAATGCAAGAAAGTACAAAGCTGCAGATATTTTGGGGTGGGGATGAGTCTTTTCACATACACCAGAGAATCCAAAAAGTCTCCACCCAAACATAACTCGTAAATGACCTCACCAGTTTCCTAAGCACATTCAACAAGCCTTCCTGCCTGCTCACAGTATAGCCAACGTATGATGTCAACAGTCCACCTGCAAATATCCTGCAACTCCAGGGTCAGGAACACAGAGAGATAATATAAAAGCAATGCCAGTGTTAATTAAATGCACCACTTGTTTTACTGCTAATTTCCTCTGATACATATTTTTCCCTAGAAAGACTGTCCCACTGTTCCCTACATTTTCTGTTTAAAAAATTCAGGCACTGTTCACACAATGCAAAGACCATATAATAATTACGCAGCATTGTAAGAGAAGTTCAGAAGAGACATTACTTTGAATTTTCAGATTAGAAGAATATAAAATAAAACCAAGCATCTTTTGTGACTGCTGGCTAACACAGATCAAACACAGCATCTCATCAGCCAGCCTGGCAATTTATTGGCATAAGAATGAATAATGTTGTTTTAATAAAGCAATGGCAATACACAACTTAGAAGCATTTCTTTTTAAAAAAGAGAGAAGTCTGCAGCTGAGTTTTAGAAGCTGCAATGTCTGAGCCAATAATGATAGGAACGCCGTGCGTTTGAAGACGTTTTTCTGAACAGCTTGTGATTCAGGAAAGCCATATATCCAGGTCGCCTCTATTAGACCTTTTCCAGATCCCAGCAGTGGGAGAACCAAGTCGACAGTGCGAGGGGGGAAAACAGAGCATTGCTTCTTCCTCTCTCCCTTGAAAAAACCAGCTTCTGTATTGGAGGAACATAGAGCTAGAAACATATTCTCTTCCTCAAGCCCAAGAATTGGCTTCCTTCCTTCCATTCATCCTGAAATTGGCTTGGAGTGGAGGGCCTTGGCTTTGCTTCCATCTCAGTTCCGACTCTAGCGAGTCTGGGGCAACTTTAGGACCACCAAAGCAGGCATAGTCATGCCAATGGGATAAAGCCCTGGACTTCCTTATCCTCCCGTTCCTCATAAAGCTTACTGCTAAGGGTGGAGCAAAGATCTGCTTCTCCATCAGCAGGTCTATTTTTGGGCAGGAACGCACAGGAACGGAGTTCTGGCTGGCTTCCAAGTTGGCCACACCCAGCAGGAACTCATTAGCATAATAGGCCACACCCAACAGTACAGAAACTCATTAGGATTGGCTACATTAGGGGTGTGTGGCCTAACATGCAAAGGAGTTCCTGCTACAAAGAAGCCCTGGGTTTTGACAACAAACAAGTTAAACAGAATAAGAAGCAAAAGGTGGGTGTGGCTGGATGAGCACACGTCTGGTAACATGGGGGAGTGGCCTAATATGCCAATGAGCTGTGCTGTCAGGGGTGTGGCCTAATATGCTATTAAGTTTCTTCTTGGGTGTGGCCTATTATGCTAATGAGTTCCTGCTGGGCTTTTTCCACAAAAAAAGCCCTGTCCATCAGGATAGAGAAGCTATAGACAAGAGGGGGCTAAAAGAAGGCACTTTAGCAGAGAGTGGGGATGATGAGTGAGGTGGAAAAGGGAAGAGTGAACAGGATGGCTGGGAAGGAAAAATTCAAAGTTTCCTTATGTGAGATCAAACCACTGGTCCATCTGGCTCAGTCCTGTATAGTTGGACCAGCAGCAGCTCTCCAGAGAAGCCTTTCCCGGCACCTCCAACTTGAAATCCTTCAACTGACAATGCCAGAGATTCAACTCAGGACCTTCTAAATGCTGCTGCTATTGAGCCATTAATACCACCTTAACCCGCTAATAAGAACTTACAGACCTTTCACTATTATATAGTTTATAAAAGATGTAATAAATTATTGGAGCAATAAATCAAAAGATCAAAATAATTTTGGAACATGTTTAAATGTCACATCTTGTGAAGCAAATTAAAAATTCAGTTATGATATGTTAAAATAACCAATGACACCGCAGGACAATTCCTGACATAGGCCAACTCTGGAAGTCAGTCGACAGATAAATAGCCACCATGTTTACGTATGGCCAAGAGTCGTCTTATTCATGGATGAACGGTGAATAAATTACCTACAAAGGACAGCGGAACAGTCTTGCAAATGTGGGTAAATATACCATATTTTCAATAAAGGTATAGCAAGCACTATGGATATCTAGTTTGAATTACTCACATTGCATCATCTTTTGGCATTAGTATTTTGGCTAAATTATTTGCACATAATTTCACTCTTTATATCTTTTAACACACAACATAAATGTCAGGAAGCCAAAAGAGCACTTTGCAGGTTTGGAAGAGGACCAGACCTAGGGCAGCTAATATCTTGGTCATCTCAACAATGTTTCAATTTAGCATTTAGCCTTACTCATAAAATTCCAGAAGACATGAACTAGTTTCCCAAGAGCGCACAAAAGGGTTGAAGTCACATTATGGATTACCACTCTCATAGGAAGTGCTAACAGTTCACTGCACTTGCAGTGAAAGGAATGTTTCCTGGCCAGATACATAGAAAGAATACCCCCAAGGCCTGAGAGACCCGATGACGGCACTTCCTGAATGCCAAACACACATCTACTCAGGAATCCCTTCCTTCCTTGCTGCCTTTCAGTGGTAATGCAGAACAATAAGTCAGAGACTTGCAATCAGCTTGCAATGTGCTGCCACATGTGAAGAAGCCAGACAATGCTCTGGGAAGATTAGATAACCCCAGAAGAGGACTCTGTTTTAATACAGATTGGATCTTGGTCCACATCTGTAGTATGGCTACATATGTCATCTTAACAATTATTAATAAGCCATGCCATACTCCCCCCCCCCTCAGGTTGATGGGGCAAGATCAACCAGCAACTAAAAAAAGGGAAGATGTTTTACATTAGCAACCATGAAAAGTTGTCCTTAGCTAAGAACAATGGCTAGACTCCATCACACACAGAGCTTTTGCTAGCCCAGTGTAACTTTTACTTTCTTTTTGCCTCCTTAGGATGTATTCTCACAACGTGTTATAAACTGGTTTGCAAACTTCAACAGTTTCAAATGTAGTTTGTGAGGATTTTTTCATCTGAGTTGATGTGCCCCCACTAACTGTTACTGAGCCCCTCCCTGGTTGCATTGTTATGTGTGTTCATATATTTTATTGAATTTAATATTTTATACACAACTTCATTCCAAATGATGTTTAAATTTTTCTTATTCTTTTAATGTTTGCCACATTGAGGATCCTATTTGGGCAGAAATGTGGCACGAAAATATTTTGAATAAATACATAAATAAATGTGAAATGCAGTGCTGCTGTTAGAGAAACAAATTTCATGAAATTAGCTCTGGTTCTTTGGATTTTGGCCAATATGATTTGCTGATCTCTCACTGATACTATCCTTGCCATGTAGGTAGTGTCTCAGGGCCAAATTAAATAGGTAGATCCTTGTGTTTAAACTGAAATCTGATGCAGTCACATAATCAGCTGCCAGGGCCGGCTCACTCACTAGGCGAACTAGGTGATCGCCTAGAGCGGGCTGGCCCTTAGGGGCACCAAACTGCACCCGGCCCCGTACTCTGGGAGTTTCTTGATTATTTGTGTTTTTCATTCTTCCTAAAATGCATTTATTTTTGAAAAATGGTGGGCACACGGGGGGGGGGGGCGCCAGAAGGGATCCTCGCCTAGGGTGCAAAATAAGCTGGGGCCGACCCTGTCTGCGGCAGTCCAGTTGAAAGAACAGAGACGCCCGGGTAAGTACTACATACCTCTTACCCACAGTCCCTTTTTCTAGGCACAATGACAGTGGAAACGAGCCTGGCCAAACATTGTTTGGGAAGAGGATCTGCAGGAAAAGGGTGGGGAAGGATCCATTTTGTTTGCTCTTGTTTGTTTGATCCATTTTGTTACCTAAAATTCAGATTCCGCCCCTTCCTATGTGGCTGGAAAAGGTCAGGATTTGCCATTAATTAATCTAGTTTGGCCCTGACTCTTTATAGTTCCCCCCCAGTAGAATTCCCTGACATTACATGATCATCTCACAAGCCCAAATCAGCTGCATTCAAAACCCTTTACTTGACATGTGTGCATGCATGCATATATATATATAGCATTTAAGATGTCACAAACACATGATTGCTTTTCCCCCTCATTGCCCAAAGACAATCAGCTGCATTCAAAACCCTTTACTTGATATGTGTGCATACATGCATATATATATATTGCATTTAAGATGTTACAAATACATGATTGCTTTTTCCCCTCATTGCCCAAAGAAGACAGACATCAGAATAACTTTTAAAATAATGAAAATGAATTAGTAAGTAAAATAAACCTACCAAAGCTCAGCTGGCAAAGATATTTTGCTGACCTTGGTAAAAATTCAAAAAAGGTTCTCGCAAGAGTTTCTTGATATAAAAACAAAAAGAGAAGCTAAATGACAGTATAAAAATTGAGGACACACTACTCACCGTCCCAACAAGAGGATAAATAAAACCAGCCCCAATGCTGGCCCTCACATCGCTAATAGGCAGAATGAAACCTGTTGGAACGCCTTTCCTTTCAGGCATGTGAGAGAGAGAAAGGTGAGTTTTTGCCATACAGATTGGCAGATTTCCAAATCCCTGAAAGGGAAAAAACAGAAGTCCAGATTATAGTCAAGACTGTGTGTATTCTGCATTTTAAAAGAAATCCTGACTCAAAGAAAGAGCTTTATAGAAATTCTGTGACCAGTATCAATTAGGTCAGTTTGCAGTATCTCTCTCAGTTTGATACAGGTGGGTAGCCATATTGGTCTGAAGCAGCAGAACAAAGTTGGAGCCCAGTGACACCTTTAAGACCAACAAAGTTTTATTCAAGGTATGAGCTTTCGTGTGCAATCACACTTCTTCAGATACAGTCTGTGAGGACGTGTACTTGTACACAAAAGCTTATAGCTTGAATAAAACTTTGTTGGTCTTAAAGGTGTCACTGTACTCAGACTTTGTTCTCTTAGTTTGAGAAACTGATTCTGCTTCTCTCAGTGCCATCCTAAAAGAGGTCTACTCAGAACCCTGCTCGATGGAGCTTACTCCCAGGAAAGTGTTCTTAGGATGGCACTATATGAGTCTTGAGATGAGACAAGATGTATGGTGTATTGAAGCTCTAGCCTCTGGCCACAAGTGCAATTTCATGCACGGGGAAGAGGAGATACATACCCGTACCAGCTTCTGAACAGTTAGCGGAACAATGTAGCCTTCAACCAGGAGTTTGAGATTCCCACTCTCCACTATGCTTGGAACCTATATCTCAAGGGACATTTGTTTGATTCACATGTAATGCCAGATTATGGTTACTGCTATATAACTGAGCCTCAGTCATATGCATTTCCCTGCCCTTTCTGTATCCTTTTTTTTTGGATCTGATTGGTTATAGCTTATTTAGCAGAAATAATAATTTACAAGTTTATTCAAACAGGCAAACTATTATTCACGCTTGCCCTCCAAGTCCCAATTGATAGTTCAGAAGGAGAAAAAGGAGACGATGAGTCCTGAGGCTCACAGTGCAATCCGATGTCGTGTTAAACCAGTGCGGCATTACAAGTGAAACTCCCCAAGCAGAGCATAGGACGCCCCCCTGCATATCCCTGGGTGAATTCGCATATTCATGCACTCTCAGTTTGTACATATGAATGTGTGTGTGTACGTGCTGCATCCGTGCATCACTTCCAATGTATATGTAGAACCTACAGGAGAATCGAATGAGTGAATGGATCCTTTGTTCCTGGACGTAGGAAGCCCACAGTGCAGATGGCACCGTTCTCAGCCATCATTCAAACAAATAATACATAAACTAAGGGGAGTCACACCTATGAAGAATCCAACTGCACACATCAATGCTGCTCTTACCTGCTGGCTGTAACGATCTATTTGAGACTGTGCTGCTGGAGACAGCTCTATATCTTGAGCTCCGTAGACATTCTGTGCTATGATCCTTATCTTTTCGACAATGGGAAGCTGTGGAAACAAAGGGAACAATATAAATGTTAACACTTGTTAGCTACAAGGTTTGTTTGAAAGATTTCTGGAGCAGATTTTGCACTGAGGTATGTAGGTTTTCCTAGAGAAACAATACAAAGTGTTAATCATTATTAAGGGTGTTTGCAGTGGTAGGAAGTGGTTTCTGATATTGTTTTTTTCATTGGGAAGAAGAAAACAAAAGGTTGATATAGATTTATTTATTGGTGAGAGACCAAAGATTCAGAACACGTTGTATGGACAATGAGCACACCACATCACATGCTAGGATGTTTGTTCTTTAACCATTTGACTTCTTGGTCATAAGTAATATTACAAGTGTGACCGTCTGCCATGCACTGTCATACGTGGGAAAACTTTATATTTCTCTCATGGCTGGATGGTCATTTGTATTAATAATCTCTGGCTAGTGGCACAGAGTGGAAAAGCAGTCTGTCAAGCTACAGAACATCATGAACAGACTCTACTTTCAAGAAAAAATACATCTTCCCATTTTTTTCTGTGTTTTTCCGATTTCACCATACTAAGTGTCATTCCTGTACTGTGAAATACTTAAACTGCATTCTCATGAGGGTTTTTTTTTAAAAAAAATTATTGATATTCTCAAGGTTTATTTTTTATAGAGTAACTGCATTCTTATCTCTCTGGTTATGTTTGTCTATTGTATGACGAGCTGCTTTGTGTTGATGCAATCATACTGTTTAATGTTGACTTTACTGCGTAAAATGGATATTTCAAAGGATTTCCCCCCTCCTTTTCTCCTATTGTGTAGTGGTGGCATACACATGCACTCAATGGAGGTATCTCTTGAGGAAAGAACAGTGGTAGAGAATGTGTGTAGAATATTTAATTTCTGTAGAGCAAGGGTTTGTTTTAAGCTCCCTTCTATTCATCTACACCTGTAAATAAATAACATGCTGTCGTATTACTTTTTTCTTAAATAGGTGTTTAGCACCTTGAATGTTGGGAAGGACAGAAATGCAAATAACAGAATGACCCACCCTTGGAGAAGGAGAGAAGGATACAGAAGAAATCTCGTTTAGTTTTTTAAAGCCAGGGTCAACTCAAGTAAGCTTCCCTGTATAGCAGCAGTTACCTCAGCTACATTTCATTTCATGATTAAGGAGAAGCTGTTGAGAATGCCTGATCATCAGAGCAGAGGGAGTTTTATAGTGGAATGCCTTAGAAATCAATAGTGCATCGATCGAACTGTGACTGGCTTATGCTGCACTAGCTTTGATTGCTGCAGCTGTGTCTGTAAAGCACTTACAAGATCACTTAGATGAAAAGAGCCATAGAAATGGAATGCTTCAATGCTTCCTTGTAAAATGACAGGGTTTAACCTAATCATTATCCAATTCAGGAGGAATTCTGACTACAAAACTGTTTTTTTTTAACAAACAGAGGGGAGGAAATCTACTAAAGTCATACATGCAATTAAAGCTGAAATATATGTACCCAAATAAAGAATCAAGTTGCTTGGTGGAATATTCACATACAGCTCACAGATGCAGCAGATGAGTGTTCCCCCTCTGGGCTCCTTATTCATTCACATCCTATCATCTTTCCATTCATCCTAATCCTAATCCTGTCCAACACCTGCATGAAACCAGTGGGAGAGGGCATCCTTCTGGACTGCCTATCTGGGCTCAAATTGGGAGGGACCATTTTTCAGTGGTTCCAGTCCTACTGGAAAGTAGATTTCAGATGGTGGTGCTGGGGGACTGCTTGCTCAGCCCCTTGACCTTTGGCCTATGGTGTCCTACGAAGTTCCATCTTGACCCCTATGCTCTTTAACATCTACATGAAACCACTGGGTGAGGTCTCCTAGAGATTTGGGCTGGGTTGCCAACAATATGCGAATGATGCTCAGCTCTATGTCATGCTACCAGCTGATCCCAGGGAGGCTGTAGAACATCTGAATCAGTGGCCTGGAGGCAGTTTTGGGGAGGATACAGACTAATAAACTGAAGCTTAATCCCAACAAGACAGAAGTGCTACTGGTGGATGGAAGGTTTGACTTGGGATTCAAGGAGTCATTTGTTCTAGATGGGGTTGCACTCCCCTTGAAGGAACAGGTCCATAGTCCGGGAGTGCTCTTGGACCCAGGTCTACTGCTGGATAAGCAGGTGGCAACTATGGCCAGGGCTGCCTTTTACCGGCTTTAACTGGTTAGCCAGCTGTGGGGTTTCCTAGGCAGAAAAGATCTGGCTGGCCACTGTAGTGCATGCCCTGGTTACATCTAGATCAGATTACTGCAATACTTTCCTATGTGGTGGGGCTGCCCTTAATAAGTGTTCGGAAGCTTCAACTGGTAAAGAATGCTGCAGTCAGCATGTTGAATGGAGTGGGTCGTGGCAACCATATCATTCCAGTCCTGGCTCATCTACACTGGCTCCTGATTTGTTTCTGGGACCTTCAAAGCCTGATATGGTTTCGGACTAACATATCTAAAGGACTGCCTACTCCCTTACGAACCCAGCCGACCACAATGGTCATCTTTGGAGGTCCTGCTTTGTGTGTCCCCACCTTTTGCTATTAGGTGGGTAGCAACCCAGGAGAGGGCCTTCTCAATCATGCCACCAAAGCTCTGGAACTCTCTTCCCTGGGAGATTCGTCTGTCCCCTACTGTTGCCATCTTCTGTCAGCGGGTGAAGACTTATTTTGTTTCCCTCAGTGATCCCTCCTTCCTGACCCATGTTTTAATTACTGTTTTTATGTCTTTGTTTGTATTTCAACTTTTGTTTTAATGATGTGTATTGGGGAGGATTGTGTCATTATCCACCTTGGTGGCCCTTGTGAGGGCAGAAAGATAGGATATAAACTTTTGTAAATAAATACTAAATAAATGTCTTCTTACCCAACAACATTTAACAATAATATCTATTACTATTATTATTCTTGCTAAGACCCGCAGAATGTAAAATTTGTTCAAAACATGTCTAACTTGAACAGCAATCTCCACTCAACAACAAACTGCAAGGCAAATAGCTTATGAAACCTAAGGGAATTTCAAAAGCAGCTTATAATAGCTGCGTGGGCCTTGGTTTAGGCTGTTCAATGAAAAAAGGTCAAAGCATTCTGCTGGGATAACACAAGTCCTTTGTACAATTCTAAGCCACTCCTTTGGCTCACCACCATTATTACTGGAAAACACCATAGTTAAATGACAATGTACAGAGTGCCCCTTATTACATAAAACCAATCTTGACAGTCGAAGCAGCCACAATGTGAAATAAAAATTTGCTCCTGCTACACTGCAGCCTCTTCTAACAATTTACCTAGAAATGTAACTTTCAGACGTCCTCTTTTATTCTTCCCTCTTCTCACCATCATCTTTATAGAAGTACAGAACCATTTTCCTAAACAGTATCACAGAAGTATCTTTTCCTATGTTATATGTTTTTAAGCATCAAATAATTGCTGGTGTTTATGGCTGAACGTCTTTTCTGTTGTGTATTCATGGGCTCAATTGTGCTTCTGTTATTTGGCAAATTTAGCCTTTTCCCCTTAGCCTGCAAGAGTCACTTTCCTGTGGCCTACGGCTAGCTCTCTTATTATTTTCCTGACATTTCATTTCAAAAGAAAATATGCCCAATATCCAAAAATAATCAATCTATAGAACTTCTATTCTCTGTGTAGCTCCTTAAGGGAACTGCAGGTCACATAATATGGATAATATATAGTTAGCATATCCTCAGGATAATATATAGTTAGCATATGCTCAGTGACAGACTACCTCCATCTGACTATAATGGGATTCCAGTAATGTATTTATTTCTTTAGCACCATCTACTGTGCAGTGATAGACTTTCCCCACCCAATGTTCCAGGGTCAGAGGAATAAGACGGTAGGTGTCACTTTTTAAATGTAAAAATCAGCCTTCTTTTTACTAGTATGGTCTACGGTCGAGGCAGTGACAATTCCACCATACTGGCCTCCCCTACCTGGCACTGCTCTGCCTAGCTTAGCTATGCCCAGCAGCACTATAGTCCATCTTAGCTGCTTACTCACCCACCCAATTCTCCTGCTCTGTTTAGATCTGCAGCTGCATCGTAATTGGAGTCACATCCTATTCAGTAAACTGTTTTAGCTGGCGCTTCTTAAGGTTTTATGTGTATAAGTTGTTTTTAACTATTTTATTATTGTATTCTGTTTAAATGTTGTAATGTTGTATGGCTTTGGGAATGTTGTGATGCACGCTGAGCCTGCTTGTGGGGGAGGGCGGGATAAAAGTAGAAATAAATAAATAAATAGTAATAGTGACAACATCACACAGCAAGACGCACTTGGTTGTGTGATGACCTCAGTATTATTAGTCTGAAAGCACATTTTTATTTCAACAAAATGGTGCTGAAGCGGCAGATTGAGGTGGAATGTGGCTGCCACCTCAGCAAAAGGTACTTGGGGCACTTCTTGAGAAGGTGTTGCAGGACACTGCGAAGAGTATCAAAGGAAGAGCAACTGCTTGAAAATGTGCTGAAGTGCTGCCATCACTAAACTTGGACCCCATTACACAGGCGAGAAAATGTCTGTCAAACGTTCTTCTCCATTTCAGCCCAGCCCCAATAACTTCTAAGAATCTGCTTCCAGAGCCTTATCTTGTGCCTGCCTGAAGATCTTAAGACTGTGTTTATAATAATCTTCTTTGCTTTAAAGATGCAGTTTATGCAATTATGTGAGTTCTGTAACTTTATCCTTTTTTCTAATGGGATGCTTTATTATTACCCATATTTAGAAACTACGTGCTTTATGTATGTGCAATTGGAGACTGAAAATGTAGAGGTTCCCTTTGGAATGCATACATATATTAATTACTCAAACTCTAAGACTGATTGTGGGAACAATGTTAGGACCCCAAAATCTAAACTGTAACCTTGGTTATACAGCTGGCCACATAGCATAATTATTCCCTTAGATCGCCTCCGTTTTATGCATTTTAAAAATATTTCCCCATTTGTGTGTGAGTGTGTGTGTCT